GGCCCATAAGTAAAGAATATGTTGTCTAAGAATATTGGCTTTGATGAAGGTAGTATGATCAATATCCAGAATTCTAGTAATAATACTATCAATAATTGTGTATCTAGTTGGACCTGGAACTGGATTTGTGATAGCTTCTGGAGTTTAAGTGACATTCAAGAAGATTTGTGAAATCTATAACTTTCTTTGTTGATCATATTTGTCCATTAGTTGAACTAAAGTTTCAATGATATGTGCTTCTCTTTTCTTAGTGACCTGTAAGAGTTTGTGTTTTCTCATAGGCATATTGATCACGTGATATGGAGAGTAGGTCACTATATATAGTGTTGATATGTTTTATTAAATGTTATTTTAGATAGTACTGAGTTATGTGATAGTTGTTCCTTACTTATTTTAGTAATACTTGTTTGTTTATTTGTTTGTTTTGTTTATTTATTCTTGTTTATGTAAACAAGATGTTGATCTGTTGATTGTAAGTTGTGTTACTATTTTAGTTCTATTGTGTTTTGATGGCTACTATTATGTGTAAGTATAGAGTATAAACATGTAAACAAGATATTGATCTTTGGATTGTAAGCTGTGTTACTATTTTTAGATCTATTATTATTATTAATAGCTTCTATCACATGTAAGTATGAAATGTAAATACGTAAACAAGGTGTTAATCTGTTGATTGTAAGCTACATTACTATTTTTAGATCTGTTGTGTTATTGATAACTACTATCACGTATAAATATGAAGTGAAAATATATAAACAGGTTGTTTATTAGACACGTAAGTGAGTTGCTGTTCAAACTGGCAAACATGATGTGTTCATATTATATGATCTAAGATATGGAATGTTGTTGTGTTGTTTATGTCACTCTTTACTGTTGAATAATTGAGGCTTAGACATCCTTTTAAATGTTATAAGCTCTGAGCTTTAGCTGATTTATTGGTCGAATTTATTGCCTATAGTGCTTTTCTTAGTGTCAAGAAAGGTATTAACCTGTACTGGCCTGGCTGAGAGCTTTGTGGAGTTGAGGTTAAGCCTTCAGAAGCTTACTATGAATCAGTTTTCTTGTGATTTTCTTTCCTCTGTGAAAAAAAACTATACTGTGATAGTTTTTTCTCTAATACTTACTCTATAATTGTTATTACAAAGAAGTATAGTAGTTTTAAAGCTTGATAGCAAGCTGTTGTTATTTTTAGACTATGTATTTCTTAGATATTGGAGGTTGGCTTCTTGGTTTTCTAAAAATATTACTAAAAAAGGAAATTTTTTTAGAAAATTGGGAATCAGCGGAAAGAGTTTTTTTTTTTAAAAAGAATTTTTATTTTCTTTATTATTATTTATAATATTATAAATAAGTCTTATTTAAATAATTATTATAATTTTAAAAATAAAATCCTAAAGTTTGTTTTTATTCAATTCAAAAAGAATAGATTATATATAATTTATATAATTAAATCAGAAATCTTTCTTTATACAATTATCACAATAGATTGGTTTTAATTCAGTAATTAACAAAAAAAAATCAAAAGTTTCATTCTTATATAATTTGATATTATAATCTGAAAATATTATCATTGTTTTTTTTTTTTTTTTTTTTTTAACCTACAATTATATCACAATGGCATGTCTTTATTGGGATATTAAAAAATACTACAAAGTTTACAGAATTTTACAAAGTGACTAATTCATTGTTATATATTATTAGTTAAAGGATTATACTACTTAAAAAATATATGAAGTCCACTAAGCTAGTTTGGACTAAACAAAACTAAGCCTAAACTAAATACTCTAAGTCAGATTTTGAGAACAATATCTTGCTCTCTTAGTAGCTTGGCATTAGCCTCTAAGTTAATCAAGATTATTGCCAACAGTTTGTTACTATTGATTATCCTGAAAACTAATAAATTATTAAAGTTGGTACTGGGAAAAAAGAGGAAAAAAAATCTTCAATTCAAAGCTCTCCAAAAGGTTCTTGCTTTATTCTACAGTTTCCTCTCAAAAGGAATTTGTCTAATTGAAATATTCTCTAAGTTTCATGATGTTTGAGAAACTTAATCATTTTTGAAAGTGACTTCAAGAAGAACGTTTGAGAAACTTATCCTTCTGTCAATGTACAGATTCACTTAATGTTATTAGAGCCAGTGCCATATTATGGAAGAGTTTGCCTGACTAGAATAAAGAAATTTTTTCAAGAACTTTGCCTGATCAGAATAGAAGCTTGGAGATCTCAGTTTTTGTTCAAGAAAACCTTTTCATTACCTGAGAAACTTAGTGAGAGATGGGAGTTGGATCTTTTTTTTTTATTCGTCACTTGCCTTTTAGTATTATAATTGTTTTCTAGAGGTTGAACATGCATGATTGGAGAGAACACTTTTTCTAAAACTTTCTTTCTTACATCATCAATAATATATCAAACACATGAGTGTAATCAATAGGAGCTTATTTACATTCTAAAAACTGATATGTTTCATATTAGTCAATTACCTTTGATAAAGATTTGTACTATTTAAAATTTAGGATCAGATTGAGATAGGTAAAATTCCCTAGAAAACTATGAAAATAAAAGTTTTAAAAGGATCAAGACAGTCAAAAAGGGAGAAAATACACCTTTTTACTACAAAAACCTCTATAAACCTCCTACTTAAAAGGTTAGAAAGACTTTTAGGTACTTTACAGTCAATTCTTCTTTCTTTGAAAACTTTTATGCCATTGGTAACAAAGGAGTTACTTGACTTTTTTTGGTTACTAGAAGTCAAGTTTTTGAATGAAGAGGTTTATAAACAATAGAAAAAGGGTAGAAGTGACTTTTAAAGTTATACTTCAAGTTGTTTTAAGGAAAGTATTAAGACTTTATTAACAAAAAAGTCTAAAAACTTCTTGCGAACATCTTTTTTGTATATGATTAGAGAATCAGTGAAAAGAGTTTTTAACTTTATATTAGGTTCTGAATGGAAATACTATCATTGTATTATAGATCAATAAATCTATTTTATATAATTTTATTATATTTATTTTTATTGAAAAAAATATATATTTAAATATTGGTTTTTTTTTATTGATAATTTAAAGTTATTTCATATTTATATTAATAAAGTTTTTTTAATTATAGTAAAAAATTAATAATAATAATTTTTTATTATTAAAGCTATTATATTTAAATATATACAAAAAGATATTAGCAAGAAATTTTATATTTCTTTATCAATAAAGTCTTAATATTCATATTAATACAATTTGAAAACAATTTATAAAAAATATTTTATTTATTTTTTATTTATTTACTATTTTGTTTAAATAGAAACTTGAATTTTTATTAATTCATATAATTTCAAATATTATTTTTTTTATTAATAATAAAAAAGTTTTTAAAAAAAGAAAAAATTGATTGTTAAAGTTCTTTTTATTTATAAAATATTATATTTCAAAGTTTATTAAAAATACTTAAAAATTAATTAATATTATAAAATATATTAATAAAAGAAAAAAAACAAGTCTTTATTAGTTAGATTCTTATGTTTCAAATAAGAATATTATTGTATTATACTATTAATTAATAGAAAAAAATAAAATTTTTAAAATTTTTGATATATATAAATAATTATAAAGGAATCAAAATATTTAAATAAATACTATGTTTTTAAAAATATATTATCTATTTATAAATCTAAAATATGTTAAATTAAAAAAATTTTTAAATTATTTATTAAATAAAAATAAAATAACTAATGAAAATATAATATAAATGTATTTGAAATAGTATTATAGATTAATAATACTTTAAAATAGTATTTATTAAAATTAATAAAATATACTGTATATAGAAAATATTAAGATTTCTCTTCTAGAAAGATTTATTGCAATAATTAAGTAACAATTTTATTGAATAATAAAGATCTTAATTTCTACTTTATGCTAGTTATGAATGTTTTGAAGTTCTTTATAACTTGACTAAACATGATAGTTCTTTATAAGAGTATTTCTATTGATACTTAATTTAATAAGTAAATTAGTGATATAGTTTAAAATAAAATTATTTTCTATTGTCACTTTAATAAAATCAATAAAGTATATATGACTTTTCCAGCATTTTTTTTTTTTAAAAAAGAAGTTGTAAATATATAATCACATGAATCCTCACAAATAAAGCAAAGATGAGCCAGTTATGAAAAATATACTGTATATATAGATATTCATATTAATATTTAATAAAATTAAACCTTAAGAATTGAATCTAAAAACCAAATTCTAATAGTTTTAAAAGCACAACTCAAAAATAAGAAAGCTCAATTTAACAATTTTTTTTTCATTTGACACGAATAAGCTAACGCACGCATATACAGTAACTGAATTTAAAAAAAAAACCTGGCATCGTGAAACTCAACTAACAATAGCTCTAATTTTTACGACAAATTAATTATATTGAATAAGTAAATTATGGAAGTGGCATCCACTTTCAAAAATAATAACCCGTGTGTAAATAATATTCCAATTAGTCATTAGTAAGCGCGTACCATCAACGTTGCATTCCGAGAAAAATAATTAAACATTTCTTTGACAAAAAAATATCTTTCTGCTCGGAAAATAATATAAAAACCAAGCAACCTGCAAAGACCGTGTGGGATACTTAATTGCAGAATTAGCTTAGCCTAGTTCTAAAAATTTTGAATGGTCTAATCGAAGAACCATTCGATTAATGAACTAACTAACTTACAGCGATCACCCTGTTAGATTCGGAACTTAATATCTTCTTTCAAATGTAATATGTAGATTCTTCGGAATCATTAAAGAAAGATAGGTACTTTTGACCTATATTTCAAATGACAACAAATATAATAAGACATAGGGATAGCAATGCAACAAAGATCGCGTTAATAATATTCACCTCAATCCTATCCCCATGTATGGTTCCTTTGGGAATTGTCCATTGATACTTTCTAACTATTGTAAGTTTAATTCAACAAAAACAATATTAATCCGTGAAAGAAATAATGTTCCATAATATTATTATTCTTTCATAGAAATCAACTCACCGAACATGGCCAAAAACACTCGTTGTTCAGCCAACGAAAAATTCATGCCAACACAAATCCTGACACCCCCGCCAAATGGAGTAAACTTGTAAGATGATTGAAATGTATTCCCTTCGCCGCCAGCGAATCTTTCCGGCCGGAATAGATGGGTTTCATCGCCCCATAAGTTTTTCGAATTATGTAATGCGTAAATATTTGGTATCACAAGCTGACCTTAAGAGATGAATAAAGCGTTAGAATCATAGGCGGTAATGCGTGACGACGAATAACAATACCTTTGGGTAACACGTATTCCCCAAGTTTCGTCTCCGTCTGAGTGACACGCACGCTGAGAGCCGGAGCGGGAGGATGAATCCTTAAAGTTTCGTGCACGATCGTATTTAGATACTTCATTTCTGGAATAGTATAATCATATTAATTTGTAAATAAAGAAGCGCGACAAAACAATAAGTACCTTTAATTTGATCAAGGGTAGGTATAACGTCCTGTTCCCCATCTCCAATAATCTTGATGACCTCTTCACGTGCCTTTTTCTGGCATTCTGGATTTTTTCCAAGATAATATATTGCAGCACTGAGAGCGGATGCAGTGGTATCGTGACCCGCAATCAAAAACACTTTTAAATCATTTAACAACTCTTCAGTCGTCAACCTCTTCTTTAAATTCTCCTCATCAGCTTCAGCTTTTAACATATAATAAAGTAAATCTTTATTCTCTCGTTCTGAATTTTCTAAATCCGAAAGACTTTCTATTTCAGAAGCTTGAATTTTCTTTCTTTTATCAATTATATCGAGAATAACACTATCTATTAAATTGATGTGTTCAAAGAGATAAGATCTTTTGAATCCCGGTATTTTTTCGAGTATCGGGAACATAGAATATTTCTTATCCGATATTCCATGCATCGTTGCGTTATAGGATCTTATGAGCTGAGTCTGAAGTTTTCGAATCGTCTTTCGTAATAAATCAAATGAAAGTTAAGCACGAACAGGAATAATAGGATGAGAATCAAAACAAATTTAAACTTTACCTCAAAATTGTACCCAAACGCAGCTTTGCCGAGCGCATCTAAGGTAAAACTGAAATATTTACCAAAATGAATCATGTGTGATTTCAAAAAAAAGTAAACAATAAACCAAAAAGGGAACAGTGCACATACGCTTGGGTCATAACTGGTACATTGATGGTGTTATTAACTTTAAGATCCTTATCCAACTCTTCAAATAATTCCGGAATAATATTTCCAAATAATTCTGTCGGCCATATATGGTGGAAAGATGGATTTACAATTCTTCGATGCCTTAAGTGTTCCTATTATTATTGACCGGCGCGAACGCAAAAAGGTGTCGAGCATCATGAAAGAGGAAAGTCGCGTCAAAAGGTATTAAATTGTCTTACTTCTTTATTCTCGAATAGTATGTTTTTCCTACCGATATACGCGTACTCACAATAAGACATTGGACGTTTCTGTTTTAATTGAGGAATTTGCACTTTCTTGTATGCTAACAGAAAATTTCAATTGCCAAGTAAAAAAAAAAAAAAAAACCTACCATGGAGTCGATCTTTTGAAATGCATCTTCGAGAAAAGGAGATTACCAATTTGAAGAATCAATTTATCGCTAATATCAATTACCTCTTACCTGTTCTAATATAAATTTCTCTTAACAAAGAAGGCCGTGAAACAAAAACTAACCATTTGTTCCATAAAATGTCGTAATGCTGAAGAAATCAAGCCAGTGATGTTTAGTAAACGCATTTGAATACCATTATTTTACTAAAGACTTGTTTTATTGCTTTGCATGTGATGCCTATCATCATTATACTTAATTACTTTAATGATTCCTGTTTCTTCAACTGGTTCCAACAGAAAATTTCTGATATTAGTCGCAAGCGGAACACCCAGTAGGTAAGTCCCAATGTTCCATTTTATTCCAGTTGTTAATGGAAGTGATGGAATTTTACGAAGTTCTGGGTGTATCAGATAATAAGAAGAAAAGATTTTGTATAAAGGGATAGTAGTGATCAAAAGGCAGATAAGGTAGGCATAAATCATTTTTTTTTAGGCGCATTACTGCTTCCGCACTTTATATAAAAAACAGACTTTGGATGTTTCCAAACATAGCCATATAACAACCAGAAGGGGATTGGATGTTGATTTGTGATACAGTCTATATTATTACATGTTGGACTATTAGAGAAATCTGCTGATCTTTTCAAAGGATTAAAAACTGGATCCAAGATAAAGAAAATTCGATGACCTGGATAATCAATTTCTTGAAAAGATAATGCTTATATATATAGTATAATCAATATAATTAGTTATATATAGATAGATACTAAGAATAGTTGATATACAGTTGCTTCCAAAAGTTTGAGTTCACTTACTATGTTTTTATTATAAATTTCAACTTTGACAATTTTTAAAT